TTGAGCGCGCGCACGGCATCCGGTGCGTGAGTTGTGTACGCGCTCTGGCGTAGTTTACGTTAATGGGTGTGTTGATATCCAGCCGAAGAGCAATCAACCATAACTTCAGGCGAGCAGGCTCAGAAGTTGGGAATACGTGGAAAGTCACCACTCCCGAATGAGTTCGCGTGAGAGAACGTAATCTTTTAGTTTTAAGTCGGTTTGAACAATCCGGATAAGCGCAAGTAAGTACCATTTTGATTAGCCGTCGTACCTACAATGACTGTGCACTGTGTAAACAATGAGTGACGTATACGCGTGAGAGATCACTTCCGGCGCTTGCGTAAACTACGCCAGAGTGCGTACACACCTCACGCACCGGATGCCGTGCGCGCGCTCAAGGAAGTTGGATATAGTGGTGTATTAGAGGTAAAAAATGATATAAATACTGTTCGGTTTCTGGCACAAACTGATCGTTTCGTGTCTTAGGACATCAATGTGTCGTCACGAGCCGCAGGGTTTAATTTGGATTTGTCTGTGCATGTTTTTTTTACTCTCATAGATTTTGTTACCATTGCCATGCATTATACGACTGATAGACTGCAACGGTTAAAGTTAAAAATCATCATATGTGTTCTACTGAAGAAACAAAGTCACCTACATCTTGGATGCCCTGGGGGTAAGCAGATAAACATCAATTTTTTTGGATGAACTATCCCTTTAACCTGTGCCCACCTGGTAACACTTGAAAAGCACTTTATTCTTCCACTACAGTGACTTTATCTTGAGGAGGACTACATGAGTACATACACATCAGACAAACCGATTGTCATTAAAGTATGTGCCACATTCTGGAAGTCATTTATTTTCCCTTCCCTTTGTTAAAATGATTCGTCTCTAGTTGAAAGAACGTCACAACACAAGAAAGTTCCTCTTCAGAATGCTGTTGATTTCCCACAGATATTGAGGACTGTTCCCTCAAGGTCAAACAAGAAAAATAGTGCCCCTCGAGAGGCACCAAATGCTTTAATAAATAACATCTTATATATAAAGGCAAGAAAGCGTTTTCGGTTTATATATATTGTTAGCATCCACGTACATCTCAACAGATCTATTAGTGGTCAGAGTAAAGTGCTATAAAGTAGTAGTGAATGTACATCTGAAGTGATTTATTGTTGTTCAGTACATCTGTGTTATATATATATATATATACACACACACACACACACACACACACACAGACACGCACACAATACATGATAAGCATAATTAAAATGCTATGACTATTGTCCTATTTTCCTTTCTCAGCAGTTTCTTCTAACATAATAAAAAATCATGTCCATTTATTTTATATATATTATTAATCTATCTATATATATCTATACATACAGTACATGCTAGATATAATTAAAATAGTTTAATATTTAATAGTCTTTGCACATTTCGACCGCCCCATTAAAAAGACACCCGTCACACCTGGCCATATTCGCCCAGACATCACATGTCTTGCCTTTACTGAACCTCATCTGGGCTGCCATAGAGACATGGGATGTCCTCACAAAAGAGACGCTGACACAGGCCAGTGAGGCAAAGGGTCTGTAACAAAGAGACAGGGGGATGGGGGACATCCATTTAGCTTGACATATACAGTCAAACGCAATAGCGAAATATCAAAAAGCTACCCAGAACAACAAAAACCCTCATGTGATTCATGCATGTTCTGCATCAAATTCAGTCAGCCGCAAATTATATGAACACCTAAGAGGATTTTTGCATATTAGGTTTCAATAGTGTTTTTACTTACATTATTTGGAGATTTTGTTCACATATCTTTTGCTTCTTAATGCCTCGGCATGAGCGTGGAGGAACATATTAATTTGATTTCACCCATTTGACACTTTCATTCCATTTGCATCAAGTGGCCCTCCATGGGCGTCTCACCTCCCGCTCTAATTAAAATGATGTAATGAATAGAGTCCTTTCACTCCACCCAGCTAAAAGATAAACATGTAAAGACTCCATCTCCAATAGACCCTCCGTCGAATGGAGATCATACAGGGCAAAAGCAGGAGCGGAACCAGCTGGATGCTCAGTGTTTGCATAGTTCACGCTGCACGATTAAGAAAGTTAACGACTGGATTTGCAATAATTTTTTGCTTTAAAAAGAGCATGGGGTGCACAAAAGAGGTTAAGCTGTTTTGGCCAACCTGATAACCATAAAGACGGTGAAACATTGTAAAAGGAAAGTCACAGTGCAAGATAAAAGCAAATGTAATCTTGCAAGAAAAACCCCAACATGATTAGCATTTTAGCATTTTCCCGTTTTTCCTATAGTAGTTAAAAACAAAAAAGTATACACTTAAGCTATAAGAAAAACAAGTCTTATTTGAACAAGTACTTTATCTTGTTTTATGACAAATCTAAAGGGATTTTTTTTTTTTCTTGAAAATGCGTTCTTGGTAGCACATGGTTAGCAACGCCATGGCCATGGGTTTGATTCTACTGAAACTGTTGAATGAAAGTTGCTTTGGATAAAGGTGTCTGCTGAATGCATTAATTTATGTTGTAAATAGAAGTAACAATTAAAAAGGACACTAACAAATCAACTCTCAAGACCATTTGGGGGTAAATTATTCGCTAAGTTCTGCGCTGGCCTTGACACGACAGAGAATTGTGCGCTGACATTACGTACACATCTATCTGTTTGTTTGTCTGTCTGTCTGTCTGTCTATCTATCTATCTATATATCTATCTATCTATCTATCTATCTATCTATCTGTCTGTCTGTCTGTCTGTCGTTCTGTCTGTCTGTCGTTCTATCTATCTATCTATCTATCTATCTATCTATCTATCTATCTGTCTGTCTGTCTGTCTGTCTGTCTGTCTGTCTCTCTCTGTCTGTCTGTCTGTCTGTCTGGCTGTCTATCTATCTGTCTGTCTGTGTCTGTCTGTCTGTCTGTCTGTCTGTCG